CATCTTCTCATTATCTTCTCATTTAGCTTGGTCTTTATCCCAAGTGTGAAAGTAACCCACAAGTTTGTTGAGTAAGGCGAGGTTCATAGATAACTGAATTTGGAAGCTACCTGCAGAGCACTGCTAGGACATGCTGGAAGGATTATATTCCACATCTGTTTTATTCGGGAAGTTAAAGTCTTTGTAGTTTCATAGCAGAAAAAGTTTGTCTTTATTATGAACTGATACTTTTTGTTTTGTCAGATGGTTAAAACTATTGTTTACTACTCTGCTTTGGCTACTGGGAATCTTAGGGCTAGCTTGTCATTACTATGTGGCCACAGTTTTTATATAATCATCTTCATCATCTACCTCACTTACCAGTCTTTTTGTTTTAAGGATTCTATCATGTGTTTTATATTATAAATATTCTTAATTCCCTTTTGAAATTTGGTGGTAGATAAATTCAATAAACTCAGCAACCACTGAGTACTTACTTTTCGTTGTTAAATCTGTTGACCTGGCAATAGTGAAACAGACATGTATGGCTTTAAGGAGTTGGGGGGAAAAAAAAAACTTTTTCAGAAATCCTTAGAAAATGCTTTGCTTAAATATAGCATAAAGGAAAATAATATATTTTGCTAAGCATGTAAAGTGCACGTTTATTCTTTTATTGCTAGTTCAAAGTCCTCATTAAGATAGATTGCCATTGTCAAAGCCTAGATGTTTTCTAGAACTATTCTGTTTTATTCGGAGTTGAAATCCAGGACTGGAAGCTGGGTCTCAAATAGTCTCTGAGATAACAGTGCTCATACAGCCCAGCCATTTCTGTCCTTGGATGTCTACAGAGAAGCTGTGAAGCTTGTCTTCTGTGAGAATACACTGCCCTCAGGCCTTCCGGCTTCACTTTGGGGATGAGCTGGTACGTGTGAGGTGACCAAAGATTGCCCAGGGAGTCCTTGAAAAATATGATAGTTTGTCTGATAGGTACTCTAAAATGATTTTGAAAAGAGAAGGCATCCCTACTGTAGTCTAAAAGGAAAGAAAGCCTTTTTTGGTTGTTCATATTGTTCTTTAATGAAGAAGACTCTTATGCTTTGTGCAACTTTTAAACAAACATCGAGTCCCTTGAACATTCAAACTACTACATAAAGGCTTAGAAGGTTGTAAGTACAAGTGGTAGTCCATTCCGTAAGTGGTTGGCCAATAGCACCACTTACAGAAACATTGGAATTCACATATTTTAAAATGTAAATTCAGTGTATCTTTTCACCACAACCTGACTAAAAAACTAGGTTCATGAATTATTCTGCCCTAGATATGTCATCCCCTGCCCTATGAAAGAGAATCCAGTTATTGCCTGAATTTTTCTGGAACCGATTGCCCTTTAGCTGAATGTCCTTGTCTTTTCCTTCTAATTGATGGCCTTTTGCTTATCTTACTGCTTATTAACACTTTTATTGTGTGTGATATGCAGAATAATGCCCTCCCCCTCCACACCAAAGATGTACATGTCCTAGCCCCCACAACCTATGAATATGTTACATTACATGGCAAAGGGAAGTTAGTTTGCAGATTGAATTACATCTGTTAATCATTTTACCTTAAAATGGGGAGATTATTCTGGATTATCCAAGTTGCCCCCTATTTTACTTAAAATGAAAATGTTCCCTAGGACATTCTTTGCCTTTGTATTCACAAAGGTCCTTAAATGTAGAAGAAGACAAGTGATGTGACATGACAGACACTTGACCACTTTCCCTGGCCTAAGGTTGAGGAGGGCCTCCCGCGCCACCCCCACCGCCCCCCCCCCGCAACCCCCACCCCTGAGGCTGGAAACATGGAGACTTCTAAAGCCTGGGAAAGGCAAAGAAACCTGTTTTCCCTTGAGCTTCCAGAAAGGAATGGCCTCCTGACACCTTTGATTTTTGACACCCAGTGAAATTTATGTCAGATTTCTGGCTTACAGAACTGTTAGTATATTTTTGTTGATTTAAGCCACTAACCCTGTGGTCATTTGTTATGGCAACAATAAAAACAAGTACATTTACCAGTGTTCCATGAAAGGAAGAATGAAGATCAGACTCTAGGTACTCCACCCGGGAAAAGATTTAGTGTATGTTGAAGTTGCAGTGCTTGCCGGCAAGGAGATAAAAGGCCGTCGGTGAATTTCAGCACCCTGCCCTCATTGCTTCCCATTAATGCAGAAAATTTACAGGTGCCTGTTGCCATTGTAATGACCTGAAATACACTTCAAAACACTATACCTTCGTTTCAGTCAGCCTCCAGGCTCCCTGGTTGGCTATCATTGGAGTGAGCTTTTCATGGAACAGATTTAATTATGTTATTTCTCTTTAAAGTCCATTTTATGATTTTCCGTTGTCTAGAGAAAAAAGCCCACACATACAGCTTGGCAGTCAAGGTCCCTCGACAACAGAAGCTTTTGCTCCAGCCTATGTCATACTTCTCTCTCTTATGCATCTTGTGTTAACCAAGGTAAAGTACTTATGTTCTGTGAGTCTGGCTTAGTGTTTGGTGCTTTTATTCTTCCTACATTTCATTTTCTCTACCACCAGTGTGCTCCCAGATCTTCACACTGGCTGGCAATTCCCTATGAATTCTTTGAGACTCAAATGAAACATTGAATTCCCTGGAAAAATCAAGGAACATACCACATCAAATAAAATTGTTTGGTCTATCCTTTATGCTACATTATGACTTGTATACACTGTGATTTTAAAATTATTTCCATTTCATTCTGTTTCATTCTGTGAGTTTCTTGAAGATAGCAAGTAGGTCTAATAATATATTTGTAGGAACTTAGTAACTCACATAGCTTATACAGTAGGTACTCAGTAAATAAATATGAAGTAAACAAATGATGGTATAACCTTACCTGGCCAACCTACCACAGAGATATCATTAGAATGCAGATTTTGGATTCCCAGGCCAATCTTTCATTATATTCTGCCAATAAAACTTAAGTAGTATAAAAAAATTTTTTTTAATACCTAGGGAACATTTTCATTTTAAGTAAAATGTTGACACTGACCGGCTTACTTTGTTTGATACCATTTCTCCTTCTTTATCCCTTAATTTAACACTTGGAATTTCATGATTTTATTGTATCAAAATGAAAACATGAAAATAGTTTCTCTGTCTTGTTTAGTTTCTTTTCCTGATCTATTTGCAAGAATTATTTTGTGTGTTGGGGCGTCTGGGTGGCTCAGTCAGTTAAGCATCTGCCTTCGGCTTAGGTCATGAGCTCAGGGCCCTGGGATAGATCCCTGCATCAGGCTCCGTGTTCAGCACAGAGTCTGCTTATCCCTCTCCTCCCCCCTCTGCTCCTCCCCCCACTTACGCACTTGCTCTCTCTCTCTCAAATAAATAAAATCTTTTAAAAAAATTATTTTGTGTGATGATCTATATTTATTTATTTAAATATTATGAAAATATTGAGAAGACTGAAATGTAATCAAATAGCATGGCAAGTATCAAATTCCTTTGACTTTAAATACTTGAATTTTTCTCTCAGCACTTCTATTTTCTGCCTTTTTAAATTTGTTTACATGTTTATTTCTCAGTGGTTACATGTGGGTCTGACCTTGCCGCACAAGTCTTTATGAAATTAAAAATGTGTATGATAGAACTTGGAAACTATAAACCCTATTCAGAAGGAATGAATTATTTTCATAACTTATATTATCACTTTACACTGTGACTGCAAAATGTTCACAATTTGCATGATGATGGGAATAATTCCACTGGGGATTTCTCTTTTTTTACAACTGCTGTCAGAATTCAGAATCTTAAAACGGTTGGCATAATTTTTAGTGTGATCGGTAAAACACATCCTTCATGTTACATAATAATTTATAAGTTTGGTTTACTACTTTTAAAAAGGAAAACACTTTTTATTAAGATGAATGAGTGCATTGGTGTTATTGTTTTATGTTAGAAGATCATCATTAATTTAGTACTTGGAGGCCATTGATAAATCATTGAAACATAAATATATTTAAAAGAGATTTTTATTTTTGAAATACTATGAAAATGTTGATGAATATTTGGAGACTGTGGATTGTAGCTATAGACATATCCAGCTTGACTGAACATTGCTTGGATGCCCACTCTCTGATTTGGATAAGCTAACATGTTTTAGAATGGCTCAGAGACTAGGCGAAGCCATGGTTCAGAATGTGTCTTCAGGATTTGAATTCTGTCACATTTCTTAGGTGACTCACCAGGAGTATTTTGCTTCCTTTGTTTTAAGGACAGCTTTAAAGTAATCTTTTGATTTAGCTACTGATATTTTCATCAGAAAAGAAGTGTCCTGTAAGAAACCTGTCTTCTTTAAATGTATCAGAGATATCTCCTGTTATGCATCAACAAATTGGCATTATGGTTTTTTAGAGCTAGTCTCCAGGGAATTCATTTAGAACAAAAATGAGTCTATAGAACCTTATCATGTAGATCGTGGTAGAGAGTTACCTCTCCAAAGATTATACTTTTCTAGAAAACACAAAACCATTCTCATGCACATCAGGTCAGTTTCTCATCGCCTTACGAAATGCCAAATAAATGGACACATTCTTACTGCTCTTTAAAGAGGTTCCTTGTACCCGATATCTACCATTATATCACACTTTCCTTATTGTGTGCAATGTCTGTTCTTTTAAGTACATAAATTTACAATGTACAATGACTTCTGATTCGTTCCGTGGACTTGGAGCTTATCCTTGATTAGTGTAGTAGGTCTTAGTGAAACAACTAGCTGCCCTGTCCCTAAGCTGCGGAGTACCTTTCACTTTTAAAGCCTTCAACCCTCTATCCACTTGCTTGAGTATCTTTTCTTGATTATACAAAGTTCAAAATTTATCTGAACAGAGTCTCTGTGTTGTGATCCTCTGAATACTTTGCATGAATTCCCATGCTAACTTGATGCCATTACTGTAGCTACAGGAACAATTCTGTTTCTTTGAATAACTATCAGCAACAATTGTTTAATTCTTTGCTCACAGGTACTACAGTGCAACCATTCTGCAGATGTCTGGTGTTGAAGATGATAGGCTTGCAATATGGCTGGCTTCAGTGACAGCCTTCACAAATTTCATCTTCACGCTCGTGGGAGTCTGGCTTGTCGAGAAAGTGGGCCGCAGGAAGCTTACCTTCGGGAGCTTAGCAGGTAGGTGACTGGATGAAGAAGTCAATTATAAACTTTTCTCTAATGATGACAAGTTCACCTTCCAAAATACAATACCAGTACAACTTATGATATTGTTCTCTTAGCCAAATAATAGAGTTCTTCTAGACAAAACGTTTTTTAAAAAAAGAACTCAATGTTATGTAACTAGAATGTGACTAGAAACTGGAATTGTAAGAACAATTTGAATCTACTGAGGGTAACATTCTGCTGTTGTTATTTTTGAGTTCTGCTCAAAGGTACAAAAGTGAAAAGAATAATTGGTTTTTGTTCTTCTTTGAAAAATTTGATATTCATAAACTCACTTTTCAACATGTTTTAAGTTTGGTATAATATGGAGGTAAATTTGGGGCATTTTTTTTTTTTCAAAGCTCTTTCAGCAGTAGAATATTAGAACTCTATAATTTCTTCACAAAGCAGCAACAGACTCTTTTTGTGTTTGAACCAGACTCAAATTCTAAGGTAAATTCTGGTTGGTGAAGTGTATTTTCTATAATAGCTAAATAAGACAAAACATTTCTCACTTTCAAGGATCTTTTGTCTTTAAATTCTGACATTTCATTATTTATTTCTCTGTTTCACTTGAGAGAATGAGACCCACCTTTGCCATTGTCTTCACATGTTGCACCATATAATTTTCTTATCTTTTTCATATATACAGATTCCTAATTATCAATTAGCTGTCTTCTAATAGCTCCTTTATAAGTTTATTCGAGTAAAAATACATTTTTCCATTAAAATGTAAAGTTTCCAGGCTGGCATGAACTAAATTCTATTTTAACCGAATTATACCTTAAGACACTGATCTAAGAGTACTGCTTCCGGCACTTGTCACAGATTTTAATGAGAAAATACATTCTGAGTTCCAAACTCAGTTATTTGGAACACAGCGTCTCTCCCAACGCTTCCTCCAGAAGGAAGAGTGGAATGCTTCCACCCTCTGTTCTTGCCTAAGCAGTGGACGGACTTGAGTCTGATAATGTAAGTTGAACTGAGGGGAAGGTGAGCAGAGATTGTCTGATTAAGAGGCAAAGGTAATTTCAACAGCCAAGGTACACAGGGAAGCAGGGGGGTAAGTGAGGAAAGGGGAGGGACGAGGAGGCTACAAACCATTCATTCATACACTTGAAGAAACCAGAAGTGTTTTGTCTGGAAAAAACGACTAAAGGGTTACCCAGTAGATAACCTAATTCTAGCAGATGGTAGATGTCATGAGGGCATTATTTTTACTTAATATGGGAAATATAGTCTTAATAATCAGAATTATCCAACAGTGAATTGGGCTGCTTTATTAGGATGGTAAACTCTCAACAAAAGGGTAGACGACCATCAGGTAGGGATGTACCAAAAAATAAATTCCTACAGTTGGCTAGAAATTGGGTTTGCTGATTCCTGAGGTGCAGGTCAACCCTAAGAAGAGGTAATAGCTGCTTTAAACATTTTTTTAAATGGATACCTACCCTGCCTTTTGAACAGGGCCTCTATATATTGCTACCTTAAGAGGTCTATTTTTTAAGAATTTCAGATCTTCTTAAATTTGGGGTTTTGCTTTTGAGATCTGAGGAAAGCATTTTTTTCTGGTAGTTTAGTCCCTTTGTTGTTTTCCAAGAGACACTTTTCTCATCAGTTCTGAAGGTTTTTAAGGCATTGCAGATCTAGAACCATACTGCTTGGGTTTGAATTTTCTGACTTTAGGCAAGTTTCCATTCTCTCATTAGTAAAAAGCAGTTCATTCTAGTCCCTACTTCATAGGGTTATGAAGAGGACTGAACACATTTATACACATAAAGCATTTAAAACTCTTCCTGACACAGATAATATGGTGCCTAGCGCATCTTAGCTACCACAGCATTATTACTGACAGAGTGGTTCTTTGTTGTTTTAACCATAATGTGAAATCACCTTGCATCACCAGAATCCAGGAACTTTCCTGAACTCTTCTAGCCGATGTCATGTTTCAACCTCTCAGTGTAGGTGCTCTGCTCCCAGGATTTCCAGAGCCCATCCCTGGCTGTTAAAGAGAAAGGATTAAGACAATTATCTGGGAAGACAGTACCCAGAGATTTCAGGGACTGCTTTTTATGAGCAACCCGGCGGCACTTTTCTTTCCCGCCTCGTTTTCTTTTCAGCCAAAACCACCAACACCCCAGCTGTGCACACTACTTAAACCATGCAGTCATTGCTCTAGCATGAAAGACATCTTCCATTATGTAGACACCTGAGTTCCTTCTTATGTGGCCAATTAAAGTGATGATGTAGATATTACGGTGGTTTAGGAGGGAAAAGGCCTACTTTCTTGTCACAGGTCTCCTCTTTTACGTGTACATATAGATGCAGTTCTGGTTTTTAACTGACTTAATAGGGTCCCAGTTTACCATAATGACCAATGGAAGCTTACACATTTGGTAGAAAACGTGCTGTTCAGCAGCCTTGCTAGTGGATGAGTATTACCCTTCCAGGAGATACTCATTTCACTTTCTGATGCCAAATGATTCTGGGTTAGTTAGGTATTTATTTCAGTTTTTGTTTTTGTGTAGGTATCAATATTATGATAGTGCTATAAGTATTAGAATACTGTTCTGTTTAAAATTTCTTAAAAGCCTTTGATCCAGTTTTGTCCCCCTTTTTATGTTTTTATTATGATTTATGATACTGGGGTAAATTACTGGGAAAAGTCATATCAAAATAATTTTTGAATAGGTATTCATTCTTTAAAAGTTACTACAAATAAACTATGTGTAGCTAGACCTGGACAAAAGAACTCTTTATACAAAGAAATATAAAATATACAGTCCCTGAATAATTTTAAATGGAGGACATTCTGTGGTGTTCTGACTTTTAATAACTTTTTAAAGAATTTATTTATTTGAGAGAGAGCAAACAACAGAGAGAGCTGGAGGAGGGGCAAAGGGAGAGGGAGAGTGTCTCAAGCAGACTCCGAGCTGAGCAGGGAGCCCAACACACCAACACAGGGCTCAATCCCATGACCCTGTGACCACGACCTGAGCCAAAGTCAAGAGTCGGATGGTTAACCAACTGAGCCACCCAGGCACACCAGTGACTTTTAATATTTTTAAAGCTTGCTTAGAAAACTGGTCTTTCTCATAAATATTACACATATAAAGACAGCCTCTTGATTCTTTTAGTAGAATAAGGTCTATATCTACATAGGTTTAATTTAACTAATCAGAAAGCCAGAACACTGTATCATTTTTCCCCAAATATCTTGGTAGTAAAATATTTCTGAAAACATCACTCATAGGCTGTCTCCAACAGAATTACCAGAGGGCACTTATTTTGAAATATGTATTCATGGACCTTACCCCAGATGTACTAAATTAGGATCTCTGAAGATGGGGTCTGGAGCATGTAAACTTTAAACAGGTTCCCCAGGTGATACTTATGCACAACAAAGTATGCTTTATTAGAGTCATGGAAAGGAGAATTACTTTTTTTCTAAGTATTTACTAATAATTCAGCCCTGCACCAAGTAGTTATAGTAAATTATTGCATCAGGTACTTTTGAGCATGTTATTTATCCAACACACTTCACTTCCTATGAAGAACATCTTTATTAGGAAAATTATATCAGAATCCCAAAATGTCACAGTATATTTAGTTGTGAAGGGTTCTTCTCTTAAAACATAAAGAATGTGCCCAAACTGTACAGAGCACTGCGGAAGATCCAAGGCCTTCCTCTTTTTTTTTTTTTTAGTTGATATAGTTGAAGAAATTTGCTTCTTTTTTATTATGTTATGTTAATCACCATACATTACATCATTAGTTTTTGATGTAGTGTTCCATGATTCATTGTTTGCGTATAACATCCAGTGCTCCATTCAGTACCTGCCCTCTTTAATACCCATCACCAGGCTAACCCATCCCCCCACCCCCTCCCCTCTAGAACCCTCCGTTTGTTTCTCAGAGTCCGTAGTCTCTCATGGTTCGTCTCCCCCTCCGATTTCCCCCCCTTCATTTTTCCCTTCCTATTTTCTCCTTTTTTTTTTTTTTTTAACATATAATGTGTTATTTGTTTCAGAGATACAGGTCCATGATTCAACAGTCTTACACAATTCACAGCGCTCACCATAGCACATACCCTCCCCAGTGTCTGTCACCCAGGCACCCCATCCCTCCCACCCCCCACCACTCCAGCAACCCTCAGTTTGTTTCCTGAGATTAAGAATTCCTCATATCAGTGAGGTCATATGATACATGTCTTTCTCTGATTGACTTATTTCGCTCAGCATAATACCCTCCAGTTCCATCCATGTTGTTGCAAATGGCAAGATTTCATTCCTTTTCATGGATGCATAATATTCTATTGTATATATATATACCACTTCTTCTTTATCCATTTATCTGTTGATGGACATCTTGGCTCTTTCCATAGTTTGGCTATTGTGGACATTGCTGCTATAAACATTGGGGTGCACGTACCCTTCAGATCCCTACATTTATATCTTTGGGGTAAATACCCAGTACTGCAATTGCTAGGTCGTAGGGCACCTCTATTTTCAACTATTTGAGGAACTTCCATACTGTTTTCCAGAGTGGCTGCACCAGCTTGCATTCCCACCAACAGTGTAGGAGGGTTCCCCTTTCTCCTCATCCCCGCCAACAGCCGTCATTTCCTGACTTGTTAATTTTAGTCATTCTGACTGGTGTGAGGTGGTATCTCATTGAGGTTTTGATTTGGATTTCCCTGATGCCGAGCGATGTTGAGCACTTTCTCATGTGTCTGTTGGCCATTTGGATGCCTTCATTGGAAAAATGTCTGTTCATGTCTTCTGCCCATTTCTTGATTGGATTATTTGTTCTTTGGGTGTTGAGTTTGATAAGTTCTTTATAGATTTTGGATACTAGCCCTTTATCTGAAATGTCATTTGCAAATATTTTCTCCCACTCTGTCGGTTGTCTTTTGGTTTTCTGGACTGTTGCTCTTGCTGTGCAAAAGCTTTTTATCTTGATGAAGTCCCAAT